AAAATGGCCAAACAAGAGATGTTTCTGCCCGTTTAGAAGGTTGTCTAGAAAAAGTAGGGGCAGTAACAAGAGGGTCAGACGGGGCATCATTTGGATTATTATTAGTTGGGTTAACTTCAGGAGTAGGACTAGTGGGTGTATCGTCATCCAGTTGCGTTTCATCAAAATCTATTTCTTCATCATCATTTTCATCAATAGTTGGATTACCATAAAGAGTATTCATATATTCATGGTTTAATTGTTCACCGGGTGCAATATTATGGCAAAATTGACTCTCGGTAAATTGTAATAAACTATTATCGCTATCAAGAATAGGAGGTGTAGGACGGGTAACAGGTTTGGGTCGGGGAGCCGGGGGAAGTGGAGGAGGAACAGATTGGCCACTAGATTCACCACTCTTGGATTTTCCATTATTTTTACTAAATATTTTTTTTAAGGAATAAGCCATCTTAATTAATCAAGCAAAGTAAATAAAACAAACAAAACTATAATATTAAAACTTAAGAGTTGGAATGAGTTTACCGAATTGACGAACAACTTGTTGAAAATTAATTATCGTTGAAGACTTGAAAACTTTAATTCACCAACTTCACAATTTTGCACAGAATGTAACAATTAAGTAAGCAGTTATAAAAAAATATTAGAGAGAGATTGATGATTTTGTGAGAAAAATGAAAGAATGAGGGGGTATTTATAGTTTAAAATAGGAAAAAAGTATAATTATAAAAAGTTTGAGGTTAAAACAAAGTTTGGGGGGTTAAATGGCTATTTTACAAATAGCCAATGGCTATTTTGGCAGACCAAACGGTTAGTTTTTAAATGGCCAAACGGTCAAATATTTTTTTTTTAAAATTATCCGTTGGGTCCGGATAGGCCCGTTTAGGACCGCTTGAACCGACCCACTTCTCAGCCGGTCCCGATCTCGCGGGCCTCCCCTATAGGACCGGCCCACTACCCAACCCACCTCCCCACGATCCCGATCCTATCCGGTTAGGACCGTTTAGGCCCACCGCCCATTTGAACTTGCGGTCCTGGGTCGATCCCGGTCCTAACCGTCCCACATGCCACCCCTATATACCAGAGAATGTAAGGCATTAATTGCTATGAAGGCACATTAATTGCTAAGAAGGCACTGTTGTATTTTTAAAGTATCCTCTCTATGCAAGTACTCATGTACAAATGAAAATCATACGGTTGGGACTTATGTTGCTCGGACTCTTCGAAAATGTTATTAGGTGTAGACAGATCTTTCAAAAATAATGTATTTTTGGAAAATCCAACACGGGTGTGACAATATTTTGGAGAGTCTGCGTAGCATAGCTAGGACCACTTTGAGGACAGGTCAAGCGGTATCGGAAGTAGCGAGAATGGAAGTAGGGGCAGGTAAAATGAGGAGCAGTAAAAGGCTGTGAAAAATGTGGTTGATGGCCATTTCAGGGCTTTAGTATGCCGGCTATATATATCGAGGTTTTTTAACCTTGCCATCGATGAGGAAGATAAAATAAGAGAGTTGGCTGGAGATTAATTATTACATTCCTATTATGGGAAGCTGCTACACTTCTGATAGAGAAGCCTCGCCTATTAATCCTTGGAGGGGTTCTTGAATATAATACTAGTGTGCCTCTAACCACTTATCAAGTTTTGATCCTTTGTTACAGCAGATTTTGAGAAATAACATTTTCTTCCCATATTTGGAACAGATCATAGGTGGATGTAGTATTCTACCGACGGGTTTAACTTAACCCATAACTTTCGATGCGAAGTAAAAATCTAAATGTAAAAAATTATTAAAATTGAAAAAATAGTAAATATGAACTCATAACTTTAAAAATATAATAGGTTTAACGCTAAAAATCTTAAAAGTTGAACTCATTGGATTTAAATCCTGGATCCGACTCTGGAACAAATAGTGTTACGCTCAGCACAAGAGTACATGTTGGCAAAGGACATATCACTTGTCTTAGATATCAATAGGACATTTCAAAAGTTGGTACACCTGGGAAGAGTGGAAAGAAGACGTTACATTATGGAATATATAGTAGGAGAAATTGTTTTTCAATTCAATTGTAGGCTACATTCCTGTTTATCCCATGTTAGCTGATTCAGTTATTGTTAGTGTAAGGAATATTTTATGAGAAGGTTAAGCCAACAGCACATAATTATTTATAATAAATGTGTTTTGGTAACAACAAAAGGGAAGAATGTTGATAAAACAGAAAAGAGGATCAAATGATCTATAAATACAAGTCTTAAATCCTATTGCTGATCATTTGTTGTTACAAAGTGCCACAAGCTCTTCCACCACTCCATCTATCTCTTCGTCCCCTTTCGCATTCATCTTCTCACTCAGTTCTCTAGCATTCTTCCTCACAACCTCCCCGATTTCATCCACTACCACCTTCCTTATCACCTTTGCGATCTCTTCACTTTGTAGATTTCCGTTTTCGTCCCTCATTGCTTCCATTCCAATCCCAATATATTCCACAAGCCTAGCATTCATCGGCTGGTCGACCTGCATTGGCATGGCAATTATGGGCACACCAAACTTCATGCTTTCCATCAAAGAATTCCATCCACAGTGGCTCACGAACCCTCCAACGCTCGAGTGTTGAAGAATTTTTGCTTGAGGAGCCCATCCTTCCAAAATCATTCCTCTTTCTCCTACCCTTTCAAGAAATCCTTCTGGTAATGCATCTTGAGTACTAATTCTTTCACCTTGTGGAAACCTAATGACCCAAATGAAGTTCACTTTGCTAAGCTCTAGCCCTTGAGCTACTACATGTATTTTATCCTTAGATAGAAAATACTCACTCCCAAATGAAACAAACACAGTTGAACCTTTATCTTTCTTGTCAAGCCATTGCGTGATCTCCTCGTGGCCATCTTGGTCAATGGATTCTTGAACTAGTGCACCAACCGGGACTACTTTCTTGGAAACCAAACTTGAAAGATAATCCATATATTTCCCTTCAATGTCTCTGCAAGTTTTCACCAGAATAATATCGCGCGATCGCCTAAGAGCCTCGTCGAATGGGAACTTCTTACCTGGTAATTGATCAAGAGCTTTCTTTATAATAAGCATTTCATATTCGTGCAGGTAAATTTCAGGAAATGGGAACATTTCTCCTGGCTTATCATACATGTGGATGCCCAAAGCAATGACAGCCGCGCTAAAAGTAAGGAACTGCACAGCAGGAATGTTCACAGAGGAGGCGCAATCAGCAGCCCATGGCAGATTAAAGTCGTAAATGACCAAGTCTGGATTTAGAGTTTGTAATATTTTAAAAAAAAATGGAGTGCTCATTTCAAAAGCTTTGTTGAGGGTGGAAATGAGATGAGTTGGAAGGCCTTTGGTAGTGTGGTAATGAGGAGGAAGATCTGGAAAGGATGGAAGATGAAGCTCAACTAATTCTATTGACCGAGAATACATCCCGGCGACTCTTTTCTTGACGGAGTTCAGATTTACAGGAGTGGAACACATGTAAATGTGTAAGTTTCTATTTGCAAGCTTCGTGGCTAGCTCTAGGAATGGACTTATGTGACCATGAGCTAGCCATGGTAACATGAGTACACTAATGGTGCTTTTCTTGCCCTCCATTAACAACTCTTTCTTGCTCTCTCTCTGATGGTTGTAGCAAATATGATGATAATCTATCTATAGTATTTGCTGATATCTTGATTGTGGGTTGGTAATTAGCATGGTGAAATATATAAGAGTAGTATAGCTTTCCGAACTTATTTCTTTTTTTAGTTCGTGTAAAAAAGAATGATCGTTTTTTTATGTTTAAGAATAATTTACTTTTATGCAATAATTTAAAGTTATAAATTTAAAATATATTTTTTACTTAAATTTTAAATAGATTCACGTGAATAAAAACATAAAGATTCGTTTACTTGTATTGAGATTCTTTTCCCGTGAATATGACTTTATGGATTCAAGGTACAAGTACTATTTTAAACTGTTACGCAATTGATGACGAGACAAGTGCTTGGCTTCATCTAATTTGGGAGATTTTATTCTTGTCCTAAGCCAAAGACTTGTGACCCCAGTACTTGTGCTAAACTCATTAATGAGCTCAGTTTGCCTTTTGAATTATTGTTGCCTCTGTTCCCTTTACAGATTATTCTCGAATGATAGTTACAAGTCCTAGTTCGTACTTGTACCAACGAAATTTTCTTCTTCAAATGATTTTGACAGATTTAAGCGTTGTCATCGCGAATGATATGATTATCAGCTCAAATCACAAATGTTTGATAACGTGTTTTGATATTTTAAAAGGATCCGATCATATTTATTGTTTACTTTTTCTAATCATATAGATAGATTATGTATACGATCCTACCCGATTTTACTGTTTGATCGAGACAAGGGAGTTGCATCGGGGTAACCTCGTAATAAATCAGACCCGAGCTCGAGGATAAGACAGCAAGCCTAGAGATCGAAATGTACGATGAGACCGAGGCCAGCAACAATCGAGACTAAGTATGACCGACTTCAAGGGCAGTATAATAACGGAATGGCGAGATATCAGTAACCGGTCGAAGATCACGGCATGAATCTCGGAACGGATATCCGAGACAGGTCGAGGATCATGGCGTGAATCTCCGAACGGACCAAATTAGAAGCGGTTAACTAGCTGTTTATACAATTTTCTTCTATAATTAGAGACATACCATAATTAGGTTTCCTCTACTATATAAAGAGGAGTTCCAGTCATTTGTAGGCATCATGATTCACTGATAAACAAACACACACACACACACACACACATATATATATATATATATATATATATATATATATATATATATATATATATATATTGCCTTGCTGTTCATCACTGCTTGTTTCATCCTCTGCTGTTCTTATTAACTAACTTCGAGACTATCTCGAATCGAGGTCGAGGCATTGTTTGCAGACTTGTCAGATTTATAGGTGCTCTAATTTATCTATTTAATTCGTTATTTATCAATTGGTACTGGTTTAAATCACATATCCTTAAAAACACAATATAAGTTTAATTGTTACTCGATTTTCTGGGTAAACAGTTTGGAGCCTACCGTGGGGCTAAGGATAATAGTGATTGTTCAGTGTTGATTCTGGTAAAACACACTATTTTATACTTGTTCTTGTCGAGTATCTTTGCTTTCAGGTTAAAACATGTCAAACTCACAAAACGCATCCACACACGGTGACAATGGCCTCAGATTCCATGATGAAAACGAAAATGTGATAGCTCCAGGAGTCGAGGTGCCACAAGCTAATCTCGAGGCATCCCCGGTTGCCAACCAAGTCAATGTCAGTTCGCACGTTGCTCTAAATGCGGACTAAGGCGCAAATCTCGATTGGAGTGTACGCAGAGAAGGTCGATCTAGTGGCCAAGGAATACATGGCATAGGAGACGAAGGAGTCAGTCTCCAAGTGATATTCGAGATGCTTCAGGCTCAGCAAGCCGCTATTGCTCAGTTACAAAATCAACATAAAGCTCCGAATAGGGTCGAGCCGGAACGAATTGCGGACTAATCCTGCAGTAATGAAAATGCTCGAGGAGCTCACCAAAAGAATTGAATCAAGGGAGAAGAGAATCAAAGCCAACGATAAAAAAGTGGAGAAATACAACTCGTTGATCAGATACCGGGGGAACCACCAATCTTGAGAGAGGTGGATTCGAAGAAGTTTGTACAAAAGTCGTTTCCTCTAAGTGCGGCTCTGAAGCCTATTCTAAAGAAGTTTCGTATGCCAAACATACCCAAATACAATGGAACCACAGATCCCAACGAGCATGTTACTTCATATACATGCGCCATCAAGGGTAACAATTTAGAGGATAATAAAATTGAATCTGTGCTGTTGAAAAATATTAGAGAGACCCTTTCGAAGGGAGCAATGATTTAGTATCACAACCTGCCACCAAATTCTATCGACTCATTTGCCATGTTAGCAGATTCTTTCGTAAAGGCACACGCTAGGGCCATTAAGGTCGCAACGAGGAAATCGGACCTTTTCAAGGTGAGACAAAAGGATAATGAAATGCTGAGAGAGTTCTTGTCCCGATTTCAAATGGAACGCATGGAGTTGCCGCCGGTCACAGATGATTGGGCCGTTCAAGCTTTCACCCAAGGGTTGAACGAGCGGATTTCGATAGCGTCACATCAGTTGAAATAAAATCTGACCGAGTATCCAGTTGTAACTTGGGTAGATGTGCACAATCGATATCAGTCGAAGATCAGGGTCGAGGACGAACAATTAGGAGCCCCTTCTAGTTCAGCGTATCCAAACAGGTCGACAGTTAAAACTAGAGGGACGTCGACAGGGAGCCAAGGTCGAACATGGACCGATATCAACCATATACTGCAGATCAAAGGAACAATGGTTCAGAACGCAATTTCGCCCGGAATGATCGAAGAAATGATCGAGGACGGAATTCTTGGGGACTTATGAGCAAAAGTGGTTTTGACAAGTATGTCGATCCCACATAAGCACCTCAGTTATCGGGATATAACTTTAGCATCGATGCATCGGGCATTGTATCGGCAATCGAAAGGATCAGAGATACTAGGTGGCCCAAACCTATACAAACTGATCCTTCCCAAAGAAATCCAAATTTGATATGCAAGTATCATGACACGCATGGTCACAAGACCGAGGATTGCAGGCAATTAAGGGAGGAGGTAGCCCGTCTATTCAA